CCTGGGTGGGGTGCGAACGCAGAGTCTGTCTTCTTCTTGTCTCCGACGAAAGTTGAGTTGCCTTCCGAAGCCGATACGAGGTCGCGGCGGTGTAGTGGGATATATGGTATGCGCTCGCCGGAACTATTCTCCCACGCCAGTCGGTATGCGGAGTGCGACTTGGTCTGGCCCATGAGGATGTCGAGCTTCCAGAAGTCTTGGTTGGTGGCCTGAGGGACCAGCTCCCGAGTTGCTACCAGTCGTCCGATGGCGGTGCCGTTGATGCCTGCCATGACGGCACCCAGCATGTTGTAGTTGTTGAGTTTCCGAAGTTGTCGTGCAATCTTCATCCACTTCTCCATCATGAGCGCCCTGTGCTTGGGCTTGTCGCGCAGGAGGATGTAGTTGGTGACGAGGTAGGCGACGTGGTTGAAGTGCTCGGTCATGCGTGTAACATTTTCGAGATTCTTGCACCGCTTCTTCTCTTCGGCATTCAAGCTGACGTGACGTACAAGATCGCGTGGTCGTACCGAGGAGAACATGATCCAGTCTATCCGGGTGAGTTCCTTTGCGATGGCTTCGTCCGATTCGCCCATAAGCTGGTGCCACTGAATCTTGGACATGGGCTTGATTGGGTTGGGTTCCAGTTGTCGGGCGAGTCGCTCGTTCTTCTCGACTTGGGTAAGCAGGATCTGCGATGAGCCCATGGAGCCGTTGGTGGATGAAGCGCCACCGGTTACGCTACTGCGGGCAACCGAATTCCGTGCCGAGCTGCTCATGGACATGTGGCCGAGTGCTCTTGAGAACTCGTCCTCGTCGGAGTCTTCGTCCAGGACGTTGTTGTGGAATGTCGGTATGTTCTCGTTCTGGGCTCGTTGGCGGTCGCTGCATGCCCAGTCGGTGTCGTCGTCCTCGGTGACCATTTCAAGATCGCGAATAATCTCCGTTGCGGCGACGGAGAACTCCCGGTTCAAGGCCAAGGACGAGGCAAACCTCCGAATCAGACGGCGTGTGGTGGGGTAGGCAAAGTCACCGGGATAGTAGGCCACCCAGTGTTGCAATATCGACAGGTAGCGGAGCTGGGCAATGATGCGGATCATGGGCAGTTCTTTGTCCTTGTTCTGCGACTCGAAGCGCTTGATGATGGCCTCTAGTAGCTGGCCCGGGGTTGCGAATCTCCGATACAGAGCCAGGAACACGGAGACGAACTTGGAGTCGTTCTTGGACATGGGCTGGGCGAGCAGTCGGTCGACCAGCTGCTCGAAGGTGTAGCCATTCTCATCCGACGGCTTCACCGACATGATGCTTTGGCCGGCGTCCGAGTCGTTATCATCAGACTCCTGGGAATCATAGCCGGGGGACTCTTCAGCGTTGAAAAAAGTTTTGTTGGTGTCGCTGGGCTTATAACGGTGGCCCTTGACCTCGCTTGAACCCCGTTGAAACCTCATGGAGATCTCCGAGCTAGCCCGCTCGTGCTTGCGGCTCCAAAGGTCCTTTTGGGTGATTGATTTCACGGCGGAAGAGTTGGCCCGGCGCCGCGCCATGGAAGCCTGGGACCTGGCTGCAGGGGGTCAATGACTTGCACCCTGAAATGGGCATTGGGGGCATGGAGGGGCATTAGGGGCATTGGGGGGCACTTGGGGCATTGGGTATGGGCAATTGGGCGTGTAACAAAAGGAAATGAGCCACTTACGGCGCTTGGCGGCTATGGCCGCGCGAGTGATGACGGACAGGCATCCTCGGTGCGTCTCCGGGGACGACTCGGAGGTCTGAAACACGCTCACGTCTCCAATGAAGGACTTTGCTTTCTGCTCCACAACTTGCGGATCGACCTCGCGGTGGGCGGGGTGCTGATCGCACTTGCAGGCGACGAGGATAAAGGGCAGGTGAGCCTTGGACAGTGTGCCTGGACTCAGTCAGCATGTCGCGTACGAGGCGCGTCGGCTGACGCGATGGCGGGGTACGCACTCAGCATCTCCGGAACCTTGCCCAGGCTCTCGTGGTTTGTGACGTCGTAGAGGGTGACGGCGGCGTCCATGCGCGGCGTCGCGAAGTCATGGACCGTCTCGGGCCACTTGATGATGCTGCGGTCGCCGACGTGCACGTCGTTGAAGGTCATCTCGAGGAAGCGCACGACGTAGGGGGTGCCGTCGATGGTCATGCGCCGCGAGCAGGAGGTTGTCGTGGCCGTGTCGGGCAGGCCCAGGGCGCGGCGGATGAAGGTGCTCTTGCCCGAAGTCCGCGCGCCGATGACGGCGATGTTGAGGTCCTGCATGGTTGATGCCGAGTCGCTGGTGGACTACGATATGTGAGTACTACGATCCACGGGTAACCCCCAACACATCATCTACTCACGCTCGAAGGCTCCGACGCATCCAGGGCCTGGCGGTCCTTGTGGTGGGTGGGCGAGAGGGGCCCCTCGGTGTCGGACGACGACTCGGCGCTGCTGTCGCCCTCCTCGTGCTGGGTGGAGAGGGTCGTGGGCTGGGGGAAGTGGTAGCGCTGGAAGAAGGCATCGTCGGCAATCTCATCCGCCTCGCTGGCCTCGTCGGTGCGGTCGAGCTCGCTCTGGCCGTCGGTGTCGCTCTTGGGCACGTTGGGAGCCGAGTATGCGCGCGTCTTGATGCCGGGCCGCTGGGCTGAGGTGCCCGCGCTGCTCTCTCTGCGCGGCGGCTGGGCGGCCTGTGCCATCTTGCCCTTGTCTGTCGGCTTCGAGGGCGGCGCGTGGACGGCCCTGCTGCCTCCCGTGGCGGGCATGGTAAAGGCGCTCACAGCGAGGGCGGGCCCAGGTCAAGGCGTGTGCGACGGCTGGCGGCCAGGCGCAATGGGGACATTGGGGGATTGAAGGCGCTGGGGGCAGGCAGAGGGCGGGCTGGGGTTCAGCGGTGTCTAGGTAGGCGGTCGTGAGGCTACGTCGTGTGTACGTCGTATGTACTGGTATGCAGTATTTCAGCGGGGAGAAGTCGAGTTCATGGCAGCCAACGGGGCCTAGCTCGCCTGCGCCAGACGATGCGCCCGCGTCGCTAACCAGCTAGCCTGCATCCCACCCTCTCCACACGACAATGAGACGCCTGAATCGCTGCATCCAAACCCCTTGGCCGATCGCATGCCCTTTCAGATGTCGCCCTCAGATGTCCACCCACAGCCATCCACCCCAACCATCCACGACCTGGCTAGCTGCCCGGCCTCTGCGGCCCGCCTGTCACCCTTCATCTCGTCTCGCTCCGCCGCACATGCTTGGACGCCTGCCCGCCAATCATCGGCCCTTCTGCGCCCCCGTTTGCCCTTCCGATTGGCACAACCCGCCAACCTTATCGTCTCATACAACCTTGAAAGCTCCAACTCTGACTCCATCGGCTCCAAAACTTCCGCCGCCCTTAGCTCCTGCTCTCCAAACTCTCATCGCTGCTGCTGATCGCCATGATCGCCAGCTACCTTCGTGTTCTGCTGTCCGCTCCCCCACATCCCCTTCAAGTCATATCAGTAAACAACCTGGAGCTTAACATACGACATTGTATTGCTAACTTCCGCTCTTGTACCAATCTAGCCTGCAGCGCGTCTATTAAATTCCTTCCTTGCTCAAACGGGGCGGGGTCTTTACTTCTCCCCCCAGCTCAGCGCTGTGGTTGGACGAGGCGGCGAACCACAGTGCTCCGCGCTTGTACCAAACGCGCATGTAGCTGACGCCGCAATAGAACCCGCAGCTAATGCAATGTCGTGCACCCAGAGCCCTCGTCACATCCGACAACACCCTGTCTGATGCAACCCTCCACCACTTTGGAACCGCCTGCAGAAAGATGCCTCTCAGCAATACATCACATGCGCCGAGTAGAGGCACAGCTCAAGTCACAAACCCTTTTCAGCGTGACAAACTTCTTTCAGAAAGCCCTGTCCCCCTTTGCACCTCGGCACCCACTAGCTCATACTATATTGATCTGCGCCCAGGTGCCATATCTCCGACTGATCGGCGCTCAATTACACGTGTGCAAGTCCAGAGCACGATCAACGGTCGGCTGATCCCTTTGTCGTCTTCGCACAATCTATGAAATGACTCGACCACCCCAACAGCTCCCATGTCCGACACAACACTTATCACGCACTTACAGGTCGCATGTGTGCCTGCAAATGGTCTTCGTGATAGAAGGGCAAGAACACATCCCGCCACACCAGCTGGTCAGGCCTAATCGTCATTAGTACAGCATACGAGCAAGAAACTTCAGTTGACTTACAGTTTCCCCTTGGGCTCCAGGTCAAATTTGCGGAAGACATGGCCGAAGCCGAGGCGCAACTCCGCCCAAGCCAGGCTGCGAAAAGTTACCATGTTAGCTTCGGATCTCGTCTGAAGTTACCGAAGATCAGACTCACTTGATTCCCAGGCACATACGTGGGCCGCGCGAGAAGGCGACGAGCCACTTGTCCAGCTCCGCAGATTCATCGAGCCAGCGCTCGGGAACAAACTCCTCTGGCTTTGGGAAGATATCGGCGTTGAAGTGGACGAATGTGCTCCCACACGATACAATGGTCTAGCACGCAATCAGCACGTGTCTTTGCGTAGAACGGAATGCAGACATACCTGCGGCGGCACTTCTACTCCCGCTATCGTTGCACCGGCTGCGGGAACGATGCGCAAAAGGCCCGCGGTAACTCCCGATGAGAGCCTGAGCGACTCCTTGATGACCGCCGTCAGATACGGTACCCTTTCGAGATCGCGGACCGTGGGCTCGTTTCCGATGAGAGATGGCCATGCCGCGGATAGTTCCGACTTGAGCTTTTGCATCTTGTCAGGATGCTTGAGCAGGTGAAAAGCGCCGACCATGAGGGTATTGCCGACGGTGTCTGTGCCACCAAACATGAGCGCTTGGGCCTCTTCGTACAGGCTCTGAGCCGATGGAATCTGCTTGTCGCGATGCGCTTCCGGGTCCATTAGCCGATGGTAGATGGTCATGTTGTGAGGAAGAAGTTTGAGTTTCTCGGGGTCGTCAGTGAGCTCGTTGATCTGCTGCGAGAGTAGCTTCAACATGTCAGTAGGCCGCTGCCCCAGCGAGCGAGGGACATACCTGGTTTAGATCGATCATGCCCGCTGTCAACGGGCTAAGCTTCTTGGACAGATTAGGCGGACATTTCAGTATGAAGTTCTTGAACAAATCAGAATACTTGAAGTACATAGCAACAGGGGTAGCCGCGTCAAGAGCCACGACAATGGGCGCCTTGAAGTCAGGCTCATCCACCGCATGGATGGATTTGCCAAAGCAAAAGGTCGTAATGACATCTATACTCATGCAGCGGAATGCGTAAAACAGATCAACACTTGCGGAAGCCTTGCTCTGCCGCTCAAAGGCTGCACAGAGAGCCTTGGTCTTTTCAATCAACAGACCCTCGGAGCTCTCGATGGCAGCCGGCGAGAAGGAGCGATTGAGCACATCCTTGCGGTTCTTGGCCTCGGCATACGTGAGATAGCCGAAGCTAGATCTGTCCTCGTTAAAGCTCTTGTAGAGCGTCGCTTCCTTGTCCCAGCGATTCCTGTTGTTGTAGATGTCGTGGTAGGCTTGGGGGTTGGCAAAGTGGAGCTAGGCCATGATGGTTAGCGACACGTGGTGGCACAAGAGTGGAGTTCACTGCATTCTCGCGATGCTTCACACACCTCGTTGGGTCCAATACGAACAACGTCGCCTATCGTCGCGCACCACACGGGTCAGCGTTGCACATTTGTGTACTGCGTGCCAGGTCCCTCGTACCGTATTGCGCATGCAGCTCGACCAGGAAGTGGCAAAAGGACCGGTTTGCGATGCACTCAATATACGCTTTCCAGTATGTCGTAGCGCCGGCGAGAGGCGGTCCCGGAAACTTGGCCAGCGGATGGAAGTAGACGTTGTAGGTCACTGCGTACAGCACGTAGGCCAGCAGGGCTGTCAGTCCCGCGGACAGCAGTACCGCTGCGCTGGGTAGGGACTCGACGATCGGCATTGATTGGTGGGACAGTTCGCCGGGCGCTGTGAGGATAGTAGGAGGATGAAGTTGACCTCAATGGTCGCGCGCAGTTCTCGCAGACGAGTCGACGACGGCATCCGCCATCCCCACTTCATTAAGGACAACTCTCCATATTGCGGACGACCGCGGCCAACCGGAGCACCTGGCTGATAGCGCTGGTGTCTGGCCGGTCGACTGTCTGCATGCGTGCATGTCGCCGGCGTAGAGCCGCGGTCACACGGCTGTCGGGAGCGAAAGGCAGTAGTTCGAGCTGCTGGCCTGAACGTTGCAATCGGTACAAAAGGTCACGCTAAGTGGTGGCAGGGCGACCCTCTTGTTCGCACTGTTCCGATACCTGCAAACCCCTCGCTGCGACAACCATCCATCTTGCGCCTCATAAAACATGGCCGACATTGGAGCCCAGATCGCTCATGTAAGCCGTGTCCCCACGCGAACGATTGTCGCGTTGCTAACACCAGCGTCCAGGACTCGGACGAAACCGACTCGGCATTTGGCGACGATTCGGCATCGTAAGTTTCCCAGGATGACGAACCCGCCAACCAGCCGTCTTCTGACACGGACCGAAGCGAGACCACCTCCCTGAAATCGGCCGTATACAACTACAAGTACCGCAACGGCCGGCGATACCATGCATACAAGGAAGGATCATACTGTGGGCTGCCCGCTCGTTCCATGCCAATGCTGTTCCTAAGTGAGCACAGGGGGGCCGAATGATGAGACATCGGCAGACCAGCTCGATATTGTGTATGGCATGCGACTCATTTGGCGAAGGACGCGTGTTGACTGGATTGGGTAGTCACCACATATGCCTCCTCTTACTCGATGGCGAGCTGTTCCTGGCACCCATATCGAAACAGCCCATGGTACGTTTGGACTCAGACAGGACACCATGGCTGTTGGCTTCGGGCTGACAATCGGGTACTCTAGCACGTCTTGGATCTGGGGACTGGCACCGGTATGCAAGGAACACCCTGATCGACGAACGAAAAAGCTGACCAGTCAGGAATCTGGGCTATGTCAGTCTCACGTTCTCGCATGTCGACCGACAAACTGACGGGAACCCAACAGCGACTTTGCGGATAGATACCCATCGGCCGAGGTACGGACAAATATGCGACGAAGAGTCCGCGACACCACTCTGACAAGCTCAGGTACTCGGAACGGACCTCAGTCCCACGCAACCCTCCATGGTCCCGCCAAACGTCCGCTTCGAAATCGACGACTTCACCGAACCATGGCTCTACAAGAAAGACCACTTCGACTTCATCCACATACGATCCCTCTTCGGCTGCGTAGCCGACTGGCCCGCCTTCTACAAAGAGTGCTATGAGTATGTCCACACCCCACCACACCCCAGAAACAGCACCACAATACTAACCCCGCGCCCCAAGCCATCTCCAACCCGGCGGCTACATCGAACAACTCGAATTCTCCGTCGTCCCCAAATCCGACGACGGCACCGTAACCCCCGGCTCCATCTACGACCGCTGGGGCAAGCTCTCCCTCGAACTCGGCGACCGCTTCGGAAAGTCGCTGCGCACCGCCGACGAACAGCGCGCGGGGATAGAAGCAGCAGGCTTTATAAACGTCGTTGAGCATCGCTGGAAGTTGCCGGTTGGTGGCTGGCCGGCGGATAAGCGGTTCAAGGAGCTGGGGCAGTACAACAGGATTAATTGGGAGCAGGGGATTGAAGGGTGGAGTTTGTATCTGCTTACCACGATTATGGGGTGGACGAAGCAGGAGGTCGAGGTTTATCTTGCGCATATGAGGACGGCGCTGCGGACGAGGGGGATTCATGCTTATCAGGAAGTGTAAGTCGATGGTCATTGAGGGGCTGGTAATGGTTTGAGTCTGTGCTGACGTGTTGTGCAGGTCGCTGGTTTACGGACAGAAGCCACCGCGGCCAAGGAAGGATGATGATGAATGAGATGGCACGATCAAAAGTAATTGATGAAGAAAATCGAAACGCAATTATATTGTCGCACATGCTTTCCACTTCCCCGTGAACCTGACTAGCCTGCTTCAACTCCGATGCCTTCACGACAACATCGCAACCCTCATTCGTCGATCGATGCGCGCAGACAGAGACGATGTGGCACATGCATGCATATTAATTCTCCAACCAAACATATTCTCTACTCTACAGTCGCGCATTACCAGCAATCTGAACCCCATTCGACAACCGCAGCCCAAACGGCAATCCCCTAACATATCTATCCGTGTACGGCACACCCTCCATCTCCGCAAACGCCTGATCAATATCCTTGTACATATCATATGCGTTCATCTCCTCGATCGTCAACTTCTTCGCCTCGTCTTCAACCTTGTAGTTCGCCATTGATGTGTTGCTTGAGAAACCTACAAATCCCTTCTGTTAGTACCTGTTCTTCGAAATGGGATGCTGATGCTGATGCTAAGATAACATACCAATGCGTTCGTTGATATTGGACGCCGCTTTCGCAGCAGAAGCCTGGACTTTTGTTGCGCGTGGCAGTCGCACTTTCTCGTAGACGGCAAGTGATTCTTGCACATCGCCTCTGAAGTAGTTTTTGCTGAAGAGGATGCCCAGGGCGGCTGCGTCCTCGATTGCCATGCAGGCGCCTTGACTTTGGTGGGGCATCATCTGAGACATGCAAGTCAGTTTCAACATACTCAAGAATGGGCATGATGGAGGTATAGTAAGTCTCTTACCGGATGAGCAGCATCCCCAATCAAAGCAATACACCCCTTAACAACATACGGATAAGGCTGATGAACCCAAAGCCGCCACGGCCTCACTTCAATCCCAATAGCAAGATGCGCCTTGACCTTCTCATCCAGCTCAGGATACGGCGCAAGCAGTTCCTCGACAGGCAAATCGGCACCACCCCACGTCTGATTCGCATAGTCGCCTTTCTCGCGGGGGAAGAAGCAGTAGTAAGACAGGAGTTCGCCGCCGTTACAAGGCGAGAGGACGATCTTGTCCCACTTGCCTTCTTGGCCGCCCCAGTATTCTAGCGCGCTGTTGAGGGAGTAGTCTTGTAGGCCGAGGCGTTGGATGTCTTTACGCATGACGTTGGCGTGCAGGCAACTGGATTCTGCGGGGCGCTTTTCGGGGTTCAGGCCGATTATCTTGCGGGTGGTGGAGCCGATGCCGTCGGCGCCGATGATGAGGTCGTGGTGGAAGGTGGTGTTGTTGGTGAAGGTGATTAAGCCGGTTGGGAGGTCTATACTATTGCACTATACATACTCGTTAGTATATTTTATGGTTAGAGAGGCCAAAGATCTTACCGCATGGTTCACCAACAACTCCACCGGCGTCCCCTCCCCCTCCGCTTGCAGCGCACACTCCATAAGCATCTTATGCATATACTGCCGATGAAACATATTATACACATAACCCCACCGCTCCTCGTAGTCATCAAGGTCGTAGACGCTAACCGGCTCGCCCGTCGTCCAGTCCCGGTTTATGAGCTTCTTCAAAACAACAGGGTCGCCTTTCTCGATATCGACGCCCCATTCGTGGAGCCAGCGCGTGCCGTTGGCGGCGCAGGAGACGGATGCGCCTGCTTCGCCGGCGAAGTCGTTGCGCTCGTAGATTGTGACGGTGTGGCCGGCACGCCGGAGGGCGATGGCTGATGAGAGGCCGCCGATGCCTCCGCCGATTATGCCTACGCTTAGGGGTCTCCAGGTGTTGGGTTCTAGTGAGCCCATGGTTGCGAGATTCACGTCGGTGTTGTAGAGGGATGGATCGCTAAGAAGCTGGGTGTAGTTTGGACAATAAAAGACAGTGTAGAAAAGGCTGAAAGACGAGTATGAGTATGATCAGATTGGATCATCTCCTTCTAATATACCGTGTGAGCGCCATGTTCAGCCCATACTTTGCAGCATCCCGTCCCGGCTCGAGTTACTCAGCCGATGTGAACCTTCCAACTTTGGAACTGTCTTATCTGTAAATGGCTTTGTGGAATTAGCAAGCACCAATATCTTTCCAGAGTTTACACAAACTGAGGTGATAAGGCCTGCTGCTCATGACCGAAGTTGGAAGTTGGCGAAGTTGCGTAGCCGTAGGATGTCTGTGTAACGTCAATAGACGATACGTAGCCGACACGGAAGATCCGACGGAAGACCTCATCGGATCGCTCCAGGGCTCTCTTGCGCAATTGTACTAGTGTGTGAGGGATCTTGATCCTTCCGCGTCAGGACTTGCCGTCTACTGTACCTGGTCACTTTGGGCATGCTTCGACTTCTCGAACAAACGTATTCTCCTACACCCTCTTTTCGCAAACATCGATTTCTGACTTTGGTGGACTTGCGGCTGTCCAAATCTGATACCCATGATTCGTTTTTGATCCGCAAAGCCATCTTCGAAAAAGGTCATCGCACGACGTTGGCTTTCGCATCCCACCAAGCCGTATGCTGATTGATCGTCAAGACCTCCTCCGTGACACGATGCTGGATGGCATGCAAATACTGCTGTCGCCGTTCGTGTAGCTGTCGCATCACTTCTGCTTCGTCAGTGTAACGGTGGTCTTGCCTGTCGGCACATTTTGCGTCCGGAACGCTGCTTCCGTCGGATCTTGCATCTCGACCCACTAATACCAAATCCTAGAGATAAGAAAGATAACGGCCTGGCAGCGAAGGTATTGCGCTCACGGTTGGTAAGTTAAGTAAGCAGTGTATTCTTGAGCGATGTATGATGTTGTCGGACAAGAGCCCGTCATTCGGCGAGAATTTTAGCGGCGGTGCTTGTTGTGCACCGGCCGCCATCGGCTGCTCTCAACCCAAGACCTCTTCACAGATCCGACTTTGACGTCTCAGAAAGCAACCTTTTGTCATCTTGTTCTGCTCTCATCTCTCTCAGCTTCTATGTCATATGGTACAGTCAAGGCTTCATTTCAAGCATTCAGACTCTTCCGCTGTCCTGCACGCCCGTCACGCCGAATTTTTACACAGGTAGGTGACAAGGTGCGCGATAGTAGTACGAGAGGATGCATTCCACAGGGACATTTTTCGGTGCGTCCAAAGAGACTGTCATTCGTGCCCTAATGCTAGCTTGCCCCCATACAGCGCAATCAGTAGACTCTAAGCCGCTTTTCTCTCAATGAATATAATACTCGACAAAAAGGTCATCGAGCGCAGCGTCGTCCCTACTGATCAAGTTCCTAGGTTTGCCAATCGCAGCTACATCTTGAAGGATGTTAGGACTGATAACCTCGACCGCATTATCCGACTCTTCGCGCTTGCGCACTATTATCGAACCCGGTAACCCACACACTAACAAGAGTCGATCGTCGACTTTTGTCTTGTCTGAGCAAGCCAATAGGCGGAACGTTCCAGGATTGGCCGAGCCACTCACAAAGCAAATCTGTCGCTCAGACTCAGCGATGAAGGTACACAAACAGTTTTGAGTTGCCATGAACTTCTGGAACCACTTTGGAGTGTTGGTGCCATCCATCCAGAGAGTAAGGTATCCTTCAAGCTTGTCTCTTCTCGACCCGGAAAGGGTCTTACCCCAGTTGGTTCGATCTTTCTGGCTTGGCCAGGTAGCGTTGGCGCTGAGTGGGACAAACTCTTTGAGTGTTGGCTGCGCATAAAAGATAGCATGGATCTTGCAGCCAATAGTTTGCGCCCAGTCTGCCCATTGAAGCATACTTCGTAGGTTTTGTACATGCGCACGTCGTTCGTCTGTCTCTATCCGGCGAGACACACGACATGAACGATGCCTGAATCCACCCATCAAGTGATGGCGAAGGGAATTCCACCTCGAAGGTCGGAGGTTATCTGTCTCTAACGCTATTGCCTTTATCGCGTAGAAGGAAACACAACCGCGGACGGTACCAGCTTCTCTGGCAAGCACCGTGAGGACGCTTTGAGTAGCGTGTACAGATAGGTTCTGTCGAGCACGGAGTTTACGGAGTCTTTCCTCTGACCCTGGTGGATTTCTCACAGCTATTCCATGAAGATCAGTTCCTGGGTATCCCGGCACATCCCGCCAAGTGTTGCTTTTGAATGTAGACCAATCCGGGATCCACGATGGGATACCTGGCAGCCGTCGCGCAGCGGCAATGTGCAGGAACCTTAGGTTACTAGTCGTTTGAATCAGATGAATCGTGAGCTGTCGGTAGAGTAAGGGTATCTGTGTCTCCTTTGCGACGTCATATGTCGGAGCCGAAAGATCGCTTGCTCCCCGCTTGCGCAAGATGGCCCAGATGCCGTATGCCATGTCTCTTGGATCAGTGGCTGCTCTCTGGTACAGCGCACCGACCAAGTCGTCTGATGCAGTCTCTTTGATATCGCCTCGATAGGCCAGGTATCCTAGGGCAGATCGTCGCAGATGGTAGCAGATGAACATGAGACAAATGAAAACCCCCAAAATGCCGATGTACATGAACGCATTCTCAATTTTACGCTCAAGTACAAAACGTACTCTCCACTTAGGATACTTTCGAGAACAGACAGACACGACACCGACTAAAAGAGTTGTCGTCGTGTATACGGAGAGCAAACTAATTGCTGTAATCCATATCGATCGCCGTGTCGAGGCAATTTTCCTAAGGATGGTTTCATGCTCTTGAAGAGTATGGAGCACGCTACTTTCAGCCAACTGGTCAATTGATTGTAGTTGCCCCCTGTCAAATACGATTGCCTCCCATGCAATAGCGGCCCTCGGAAAGTATCCGAACGAAGATCGTAGAGACAGCAGTGTCCACTCAAAATCAGACCACTGAACGTGTTCGGTTCCGCACACAATCACTGGGTATGAAGCCAGCAGGATCTCTTGATAAGTCCACAGCCGATCCTTCCACGGCCGATCGAAAAGGTAGACGAGATCTGCCCCTGAGACGTATCGCACCCGGTGAGTGACCTTGGCTAGTAGAGGGGAATCGTTTCCTTCAAATGTTAGTTTAATACACGAAGTAGACAGATATGCACTTACCCCAATATGGTGCCGAGTGGTACGTGAGACTCCAACTGGAAAGGAAAAAGCGTAGCGCTGCAATAAAGGGTCGATATTGCGGTGGTCCATCCGGCACGACGTTGACATATTTCTTCAGGCCGCCATCCGCCAGGTATCTCATGGCGCGGTCGGAGCTCTCATTACCCTCACCCAGCCAGACATACACTTGCGCAGCCTTGGTGTAGATATCCCCCATGAGGGGAATCTGCCACGCCTTCTCCTTTCTCACGTCCTCTTGATCGATGCAAATCGCGTCCACCCAGATGACTAGGCCTCCGAGCTTCTTACTCAGGTGCCACAAGGCTGAGTAACAATTCTCGCCAACGCCAAAGATAACGCCATCGCACATAATGCTGCGGGTAGGAGTCGGGTCGCCCCATACGTATGATAATGCTGTGAAGGCGGGATCGAGGTCGAGGTTGATGATGCGTAGAGTGCATTCGACTTGCGTGCCTTTGGGAGCATCTCTGGGAATTGGGCGCACGTCAAGAACGCGTATTGTTTTCGTATATGGAGGAAGAGCGTGCCTTTCGTACACAGTCTGCTTGTTTGATGGGCCATGTTCGGCTTGTTCTACATGCACGACCGCGTCTGCCATTGTTGGTGGTATACTGAGCTCGCAAGGCTGGAAGATACGTAGCGCAAGACCTCGAGAAAGCGTAGAAGTGAAATGGCAGCTTTGCCGGTAGAGTGCGTCTGGACAGTAAATTGACGCTCGTACAACGAACAATTTGTCAGGAGGTTTGTAGAGGCTGAAGGCAGTCAAGTAATATCTGCTGCGATGAACTTAAGCAAGCAAGGCTGGGGGACACTAGTGAACGCCCAGTCTGCCTATGTGCCCATTCGGCCCCGCGACTGTTGTAAAATTAGAACCGCATGGCCGCGCTGGCAGTTCATCCGCGATGGACGATAGTGATAATCCGCTGAAAGGCGTTGTTTGTATGGGTATCACATTCTCCCTACATACGAAAACATACATGCTATTTCTATATTTCTCTAAAAGACCCGTCAACAGGCTTCCTACTAACTCCAGTATACTGCTGCTGTGGTTGCTGTTGCTGTTCCGCGCCCGGTGTGAAAGCGCGATATGGCTGCTGTTGCTGTCCCACACTTCCAGCCACCGGCGTATACGACCTCTGCCCTGGGTATGCTGGCGCCGCATTTGTGAAAGAGCCATGGTTTGTTGACTCTGAGGCTGCGTAGCCGGGTTGCAACGCTGCGGGTGCTGGTGGGGGCGTGTAGGTATCGTACGACGGGGAGGGGTCGATGTTGTAGGCGTAGGGGTTCGCGGCAGGTGGTGAGGGGGATTGGTGGCGGTGGTCGGGTTCGTCGTAG